CAAGCTTCAGCCAATGATTGGCAGCAGAAAGAGCCAGGCTATAGCGGTAAGTGACTGAAAGAGAGGGGAGAACGCCGCAGAACAGGCTGTAAAATAGAGCAACAGTCGGCGGCAACAGTTGTTGCCTCAGAGCTGCGGTCATGTTGCATGTTCAAGATGACAGCCTGGCTGCCAGGCAACGAGGGGCAGCTTTAAAGTTTTCAAAAGTTTCAGAAAAGCTAAGAAACTATTAAAGGAGATTATAATATATATATATATATCTGATATAGTCCATACTATAAATCAATCAGCCATTCACTATTCTCAGAACTTCTGAAGCGACCCGTTTATCAATTTAACTCACGGCTGGCAGACAGGCAGTCAGAGCTGAAGAGTCAGGCCAAGCCAGGCCGGGATGGCTGGTTGACTGCCTGGCTGGCTGGCTGGCTGGCAAAACGTAGCAATGCAGTTGAACTTTTAATTTGATGAATGATATACATTTGTCTCGAGTGCGAGGCTACCCTCTTTCTTTAACCCTCTCGCAGGCCTTGGTCTGGCCACAGAGATTGCCGCAAGTCGTCCGGTAATTGTTGTGGATTGCAGCTGGAGGAGGAGGAGAGGACAGAGTCCGAAGACCGATCGCCTGGAAATATTTGCACAGACAAGTTGAGACCCTCATATATATCGCCCCTCTACACACATGCTCTCCCCCTCTCCCCCTCTCTCTACCACTCTTTGTGCTGATCTGGATCTGGATCTTGACTTGACTTGGGCTATATAATTTTGCTTAGCTGCAATTATGAGATGTGGCGGGCTGATCTTGAACCAAACGAGCCAGAAGAATCAGAATCTAAAGAAGAGGGGTGCACACACACACACACACACACATGAGAAGAAGAAACCTGAACTTCACCGGAAGCTTCTTCGTCTTCTGTGCGCGCGGGTCTTTTGTGAATCAAAAGAAGAGCAAGTAGAAACTCGTTCTTACGGTTATCTGTTAGTTTTACAAGTGCCTCGAGTGCTGGAGAAGAATCTCCCCCTGCACCAGTCTTCATGCGTCTGGCAGATGCCAACATCCAACATCCAACATCCTTAATTATGACAATCATCTCAGCTTGATGTTCATTTCTTGACTTGGTTTTGTTGTTTTCCGTGGCTGCTGGTGCTGCTGATCTCCGATCCAGATCCAGATCGCTTGTATCCGCAACAGGGCCTATGTATGGGGTCACTTTTCGATATAATCGACATGGCAGAGGAGGGTGAGAATCGCAGAATGAAAGATCGCAGTAAGAGATCTTTGGCACAGTTTTTCGAAAACACTTTGGAATGCCATGAACTGGGGGTTGATATGCCAGTTTGTTGCCAGGATGGGAACCAAGTGGGGGAGATTGTTCTTATTCTTCCAAAAAAGGTAGGGAGCGTGAGAGCTTTGTGCTCTGGGAGTTTTCTTGGCGATTTCTTATGACGATTCTGGGTTGGAAATTATGTTCAGATCGCGGGAGATATAATTATTGCCAGGGGATATTTTATTTCCCTTTTTATTTTTTGGTTTAAGACATGCAATTTTTAAGAATAAAAGTCTGTGAAGAATTCTTGAAATTAGTTTGGTGACTACCCCTCTCGAATTTCTATGTTAAAGGTCATTTAAAGTTTACTAACCACGATCTTTGACCCTGTGACCAGAATTTTCTAACCCAACACTTTCGCTTTTTCGGGCCTACAGAAGCAGAGACCCCAATTACACAAGCAGCTGATTGATTATGCGGCAAGAGCAGCGACAGCTAAGCAATTAAAAGCTCAGCTTTCACCCTAAGGCCAGTTGCCAGTTGCCAGTTGCCGGTTGCCGGTTGCCTGTTTGCTGACCACTAATTACTTTCACTGGACCAGGGCCCGTCATCAAATCCAACTTGCAAATAAGCCAAGTCAAAGTCTGAGGCGCAGTTACAACTCGAGCACGCAGCCGGACTTGGGTTATCATCATCGTCATCATCGCAGGGGGCCAAAAGGTTAATATGGCAATTAGCCAACTTAACCAAAAGAAAGCCGAATAAGGCAAAAACAACACAACACAGCAAGCCCAGGGAAAAGCCAAACTCTCTGACAATTAACAAAACCATAGCTTTCGTAGATGCGATAACTTTCAAATGCGATTAGGGTCGATGAGCTGCCAAATCGACAGGTTCTAACAAATGATGATACTCTTTTTGATTCTGTTATGTTACCTTCTTTTCTCCTCTTAGCCAAAGATGAGCCATCGAAGCTGAGAACGGCATCGAAAAGATACTTTTGAAAGTATCTCAACAGGTTCACGCCTCTATCGAAATCTCAGACACACATTAAATGTAATTTTCGGATGAAAAAAAAACGAATGATGCCGAAAGAAAACCTTTCGATCCACTTGTAAGTGGTACATCAGAAAATCTCCAACAGTTTTTCAAGTGGGTATAGGGGAAGGCGAAGGGCAAGGGGTATTGGTTATTTTTTGGCGTGATTACCGCAAGTAAACTATCTCTCGCAGCTGGATGTGTTTTTCTTTTTTGTGAGCTGCCGGTTTTTATCACTCTTTCTTTTTGTTTTCCCTTTTTGTTTTTGTACTTTTTTTTCTTTTTTATGAAGATGAATTTCTTTTTTATGAGTGATTTAGACGTGCCTGCACTGCTCTGCCACAGCCCCTGCTGTTTTGTAGCTCCAATTACCTCGAATCTCGGTTGATTGATTCAGCCGCAGCCAAGCGAGAGTTCAATATCAAGGCAAGTTCAGCTCCAGTAAGCAGCCCACAAGCTAATCCAAAAATGAACGCCCCCTTTGTCATGAGCTTCGACCATCATGGGCTTACCTTCAATCAAGTTCAGCATAAAACTGATAGAGAACCCAATGACAAATCCGTTCAACAAGTGACACTCGAAGCATATCTCTTTAAGAGCTAAGGGTTACACCTGTTGAGGGCTTCTGCTTACATCAATGCCAGCATTCAAAATCTTTATCTGCGTTTCGCATTTGCATACAATTCCCATCGATGTGGATTTCCTATATAATATATATCATTTCCCCCTATCGCCAGTGACAATCTGGATGGGCATAAATCAGTGGGGCCTCATCTTGGCTTAGATCTCTAGTATATAAATTTAAATTAGCCAGTTCAACTTTTACCCCAGCCCCAGGTGATTTAGCACACGGAATAAGCCAAGAATCGTTTTGCAGGTGTTTCAATGCCAAAACGAGTTTACATGCGACTTGTGACTTATTTGCCTGCTAATTTCTGGTTATTTATGCGACCGAAGCCGTTGGAAAAAAAACGTCAAACAATAGACGTCTTTTTGCGTTTTCTGGGTGGGGCCCAAAAGTTTGGTTTGCGGATTTGTTTATTTTTCGGCCTGTATTTGTTTTTTTTCTTCTCTTTACTTTTTTGTGGAGTCCATTGTTTGGCTGACAACATGACAATTACACGTTAAGAATTTTCGAAAACAAAACAAATTGCGTTGTCAGCTTTTGGCTGGGGAGTAATCAGCATGGCAAATTATGGAATTATTTCCACCTGAAATCGAGCCCCTCAAGGTCGAGGCGCTATAATTCATTCACTTAGTCAAGTGCAAGTTTAAATTACTTCTAAGGTGAGCTCAGCCAGCAACCGAAAAAAAAATTATAAAAAAACAAATCAGAAATAATGCCAAATTTTTGGTTATTTACAGGTTTTTTTTTTATGATGATGATGTCAGATAATTATTAGAAATAATATTTTTGGTTATTCATAAAGTTATTTATGAGAAGTTTGAAATTTTCTTAGACTGAGAAATAATTTGCCAAAAAATTCATTAGAAATGTTATTTGCAAATCATAAAAAGCATTTTAAAATACAACCTAAATATAATATTTTCTCCTTTTATGGCTCTTTAAATATTGGTAGGCAAGGCTCTGGCTGTTTTGCGGTTGCATTTTCCCCCAAAAAAAAAAACACTTTTTAAAACTGAGTGGCTTTTAGCCTCAGGATTTCCAGCGTTGGAATCCTCTCAACAGACTACAAAGGATACTCCAAAAGTTGACGACGGCGGCGGCTGTTTCGGTATTTTTAAAGGAAAAAAAAGTTGGTTGAGAGGAAAGGCCTGTTTGTTATTTACCGACAACTTTATGGCCACATGTCGGCGACAACAACAACGGCAAATTGTCATCATAAACAATGTGAGTAAAGCAAAAAAAGCCACGAATTTGTTGCTTAAATTTCTGCCTTTCGTTCGGTTTTTTTTTTGTTGACGCGCATGTGTGAAAAATAAGCAAGTTTTCCGAGCTGGGCCCTCAACGTAATGTGGGGGGTGTGGCTGGCCGTCAGCTCCCAGCAGCGACATCCATGAATTTTTTTCCATTTGGATTTTACTTCATTTAGTTTCTTTTTTTTTCTGAGCTGTTTGTGGGGAAAAGCGCCGCCACGGAGTCTATTTAATGAAGTGCCAGAGCGCCGACGATTTTTGGGGGACATTTTTTTTCAGCAAGCGCGAATAGTGTGATTTTTCACATCAAGTCTGCTGCTGCAGTTTTTGGTCTGACTCGCTCTGGATGGCTGGCTGGCTGGATGGCTGGCATAAAGCGATTGCAGCAAGTTGAGCCGAGCTGAGCCAAGTTGAGTTATCTCATGTGCTGAAGGTGCCAACGGACCAGTTGACAGGTGGGTGGAGGTTTACTTGATTTAAGTACGGATTGAATGGGGTTAGCGTGTTGGGCTTGTGTTCAAGGCAAGGCACATTTAGTGGTACTTAAGAGAAGCATTCAAAGCCAATGAATGCATAGCAGATGGTCCACTAACCGAGGGGTTATGACTTAATTTGGTATATTTTTTAGAGTGTGTTTTTAGAGTTGTTAGATAGACCTAAGAAGAACTTCTCCTACCCAAAACCTCTCAAAAATAGATCAAAATGTGGCTGCCAACAGGCTGACACATGTGCGAGATCATGCCAACTTAACCTAAGCCCCCGTTTCAAAGCTCTTTAATCCAGCAAATCGACTCGATGGCCATTCATCCGAACACTTACCCGCTAACACATGTGTATCCAATCACTTTTTGCCCCGCTGACGTTCTGCCGGTATATAATCTGTAATGAAGAGCAAACATATAAATTTAATAAGCTGTCACATAAATTTTACGCTCTCTCATGAGCACTTAAATCTATATACTAGACCCAGCCCCCAAAAAAATCATTCAAGCTGAACACTAAATTAGATAGAGAGCCAGTCAGAAAAAATAAAGTTGAGAACCTAAAAATAGGGAAAGAGGAAAACAGAAGCGCGGGGAAATCTCTGAAACAAATTAAATCCACTTAAAAACTGTTGCCAATGGCAAAATGAAAATGTTTTGGCATCTGTTTCGATTTAAAGGATTGAGTGGAAATTGAATACTTTCCCAAGAACGCTGACTAAGTGAAAATTAATAGCCGAGAAAACCCAGTCAACAAAAAAAAAAAGATGTGTGGGGAAAACAGGAAAACTTTCACTGGAAACTGTAACAAGAAACTTGAAATGACTTTTTGAACTGTGAACTATGAACATGGAGTTATCGAAGGCGGCCCCTTGAATGCCCGTGAACGCGGATTGGAGTGTTTTTGGATGCATGCTGCATGTTGTATGCTGTACGACCAGACGCATCATAAATATTTGAAATGTGTCTCTGTAACTGACACGATGATGGTTCCATCGAGGGGATCTTCGAAAGAGCCAGCATGCCCAATGTGGCAGCAACAACAACAACATTTTGACACACTTAAGTGTCGGACAGCCCCCATCATCAGCGGTCTGATCATCGCTCAGATCCTCATCGGGTTCGGCTAGCGAAGATGTGCGACAATAAATTTGGAAATTATGAACATAATTCTTCATTAACAGCGCCTCCGTGTTTGCCCCATTGATAAATTGGAAAATGCCATAGAGCAGAGGCGTTTTCCCCCCACAGCGATTTTCTTCCCTTCTGTATATCCGAATGGGAATCTCAATTCGAATTCGGTAACGAAAGTGAAATGTGAACTGCTGCCCACATTTGCTTTCATTTTATGCGGCGACTGGCTGGTGGGTTGGCAAATGGAACTCTGGGTTTTTGGGGATTGGAGACCAATGGCCCAGTGATAAATTGGCGATATTACGGCAGCAGATTATTCAAATTTCTGCCCGTGGGCGTTAACCCACAAAAAGGCATTTGAAGAATGCTAAACCAGGCCAGGCGAGATAGACCCATTTCTGATAGTGGCTGGCTGGCTCCCCAGCTCCGATGGTTTTGGCATTCAAATTGAAATAACGTGATTTTTGTGGTCCGCTGGCCGTTGGTCGTTGTTGCAGGTTGACATAGATTCTCCGCTCTGCTCTGTGTAGCTATTGTTTTGCGGTTTTGCGCAGATTTTTGGGCTTGACTGAATCGAAACGCACTTTTTTTTTCTGTCTCTATTATTTAGTGGGCGTTGGCGCGACTTTCTGGCAGTTTAGTGGATTTTTTTCCAACGATATACGAGGTGTGTTCAAAAAGTAAGGTGACTCTTCAAATTTCGCGAATTTCAAATTTTTCGATTATCGATTTTTTTGTTTTGTTATATTGGTACACTCTTCCCTAACATCTGTACCAAGTTTCAATGGAACATCCTCTTTTGTTTGGTTGTGAGAGGCGTAAAGTTACAAGTTGTTTTGCGAGCTCGGCGATTTTTTGCTATCGAAAAATATGGATCAAAGGATTTGGATTTTTTGGCCAAAAACAACACCACAATAATGCCTCAGCCACCATATTCACCGGATTTGGCCCCATGTGACTTTTTCTTGTTCCCAAAACTGAAGATAATCGAAAAATTTGAAAAATTTGAAATTTGAAAAGTCACCTTACTTTTTGAACACACCTCGTATAACTTCTAAAAGGTTTCGATAATCGAAAAATTTGAAATTCGCGAAATTTGAAGAGTCACCTTACTTTTTGAACACACCTCGTATGCCCGGGGGAATTTAATGGCATTGACCATTGGTTGGCATTTTTTTTTAAATTTGCTTTATACCATAAGGAATAAATAACAATTTATAAACGGAAAAAATGTCTTTTTATTCCGTCGCTTAAAAACGTAGGTTATTGACCTCTTTGGAAAGTAAAAAAAAATTTAAATAAATATTTAGTTTCTGCCAACAAATCTACCTATTTAAACATTATTTTTAAATTTAATTAAATAAAAAAAATTTCTATCCTTAGTAAAAAAAAAACAAAAAAAAGATTTTCATCTCTCCCCGACGGGGAATTGAACCCCGGTCTCCCGCGTGACAGGCGGGGATACTAACCACTATACTATCGAGGATGTTAAATTTTGCTAGCCCAAATGTATTCATAGCTGTGAGCTCAATTCTTATCTGTGACCCAGAAAATTAAAAAAAAAAAATAGGAGAGCAAAAATAAGAATTTATAATAAAGATATTTTTATAGAAAATCTAAACCAATTTAAGTCGCCCGTTCGCCAGCGACAACACGAAACAATTTAATTTAAAGATTTTGTTGTAATTACTGATCCGGATTTTTCACATATCTTATAAATTTTCCACCACAATCAATTGATTTTAATGCGTTTGCAGCATAGCAATCGCCGGTGCTCCACTTTGTGAGGCATACCAGAGCCCGTTCACTATTTTTCTTTTTTTCAGGGGGCCCCAGAGACCAGCCGTGAAATGCAGTCCGGGAGTGGGTCTGTCCCACAGCGATTTCGAAATCATTCCCACCTCATAACAACCATCAGGTAAAACCAACTGCCTGCCTCTGCAGCACTCCGTCTCCACTCCACTCCACTCCACTCCACTGCAATCCCAATCCGCATGCAACGCGCTCGGCTTTCACAGCCCAATTCACTTGCCACAAAAACCGCAAGGTGCGTTGTTATAGTTGCTCAAAAGCATTCAAAGCGAAAAATGCGAGCACAAAAAAAAAAAACAAAGGAAAAGCAATTACGCAAGCAGCATGGATTGCAACGCGATCTATTTCGCTATCTCTCTCTACAAAAAAAGTTGGATGATCAATAATATTCAAGTCAGTGAAGATGAAATTTAAAATCTAGAAAAAATTAAAGGCATTTAAGGCTTTTACTATTTTATATCTCCTTTGTCTTAACCATCAAATTCACAAAACTCAGTTTTCACTTTAAAAATTCCCATGTTTAAATTCCGTTTGGTTAATAACTTTTTAAAATTCCTATAATAATACTATCCCTATACTTTAATTTAATAAAAAGAAAACCTACATGTCCGGTCGAATATGTGTGATATGTGGCCAGGAGCCGCCGTTGAAGGATGCAAAGGGCAACGAGGCGTGTGCGTATCCCAAGACAGAGGAGGAGGCCAGGATCTGGCAGGCCAGCATGGCAGCCACAAACTGCTGCCTGGAGAGCATCCAAAATCAATGTTGCGTTTGCGTTGAACACATTCCTGATTTTGTGAAGAGAGCCAAGAAAATCGGTCGAAAACTGCGAAATCTTGAACGGGATAAGCAACGGCAACGGGAGGAAAAAACGGAGGCAGATGCCCCAAGAGGTTGCCAATGTCCCGATGAGGGAGAACCTGGTCCGGATCGTCCTTCGGTTAATGTGCTTCTTCTCAATGGAGCTTCACTGCCCACGTATTGCGGAAAGGGGCAGTCCTGCGTGAATTTAAAGCAACTTCCATCGGCTGATGGAGATTCTGAGTTGAAGATAACCAAACGATTGGAGTCCAACGACTCCGACACGGAGATCTTTGTGCAGGAGTCGGAATTCAAGGACACAGGAGGCACGTTTCCGGATATCGATGGTACTGAGGTCACCGTTCTTCGTACTCCCACACAGGAGGAGGAGCAACTGAAGGAGATTCAGAAGGATATGCAGGACGCGGAACAGGAGCAGGATCCGAGTGTTAGGAGATGCCGCAACAGCTGCCTGCCCGGCTGCACGGATGTCCTGCTCCTGGGCCGCGGACACCATCCCACAGATGAGTGTCCCTGCAAGTGTGAGCAGTGCACGAAACCCTCTGGTTCCCCAACAGATGAACCCTGCTGTCAGCCGGAATGCTGCCCGGATAACCATCAGGAATACTTCACCCAACCGCCATGCGGCTGCGAGTGTGAGCAGCAGGTTCGCCGTGAACTCACTAAGGTCATCAAGACGCAGCGCAAGAAGATTCAAGAGCTGGAGGGGATGCTCTGTCGGCAGAATAATCTTCGAAATTGCTTGCAACGAAAGTTGGATGATCTGTACTGCGAATTCGGACGTTTGGATGAGGATCAAGAAAAGCGATCGAAATTACCATGCTCGGGAGGTCCCGATTGTCAGTCAGTGTTCCAACCACCACCGCCTCCACCACCACCTCCGGAGCCTGTAGTCGCACCCCAAGCACGAGCCCAACGCCACCGACGAATAACTCTAATGCGGGCCAATCGCGACATTGAAAGGGATTCACCAAAGGAGGAGAAGAAGCCATATGTTCAGGAGCCTGGGGAACGGGTTCACTGGTTTTCATCTAAAAATGAAGAATCCGAAGAACTTACCCATCGACCTTTGTGGGTCACTACGGCGGTCGACGACGGCCCAGAGAGCAAATCTTCGATTCGTTTTAGGGGGAACACCTACTTAACTCAACAGAAGTCCAGCCAATCCGCCATTACCCGCAATCAGTCTCCAGTGACCTCTAGGCCGGAATCCATCACCAATTCCACCTACTCCATAGCCAACAGGAACCGTGCTTAATGTTCCCATCTGCCCCATTTACACCTCCCCCTCTTATATTTTTTTTGGCATCCCCCTTGTCCTGTGCAATCATGCAAATACAAATATATATTTTTTCCTTTTTTTCCGGCTCTGTGCAAATGTTTTTAACCCAAATATTTTGTAGACATGCAACATTTATGTAGACAGGCTGCAAACAATTTGCAGCTGAGTGAGCGACAGGGCGGGCACTACAAAAAAATTCCTGTTTTCAATTCCACTGCCACAATATTTCTTTAAAAGTCCGTGTCATGGTCCATTTGAGTTTTGGATGGCCTTTAAAAAGTAAACTTTAGGTTATGTACCTTGCTTAATAATTTATTCTTGCTTTTATTAACTTTAGAAAGTTCTCAACTTTAACAATTTTTAAGCTTAATTTAAAGTTAAACTGTAATATTTTCAGTGATTCGAAAGAAGGAAAGAATGGAGTAAGAGGTGAGAACTAAAACTCATTCCTCGGACTCAATGCGAACCACTCGAACACCCCTCGACAGCGACAGCTGCGTGCAAATTGTTGCCATTTTATGGCATTTCAGTGCAAACGAATGCAGCTGCCTACCCCTCCCACAACACTCCCTTTACCTTAAAACCAACTTCTCCCCCCTTTTTGAAAATGCAGCCCCTGCAATTTAGGGAGCAATTTTCGCTTACTATTCTAAATGTTCATAAACACATTAAAATGATAATTAAAAGAAAATTTCGCTCTCTTTTCATTTTTCGCACATCAGCGGCAAAGTTAATGCTGCAATGTTGCATCTGCATTATTTATTTATTATGTATGCAAATGCATTTAATTGCATGGCGGATGGTAGAAAGAGACAGTAAAGGGAGAGAGAGAGAGAGAGCGAGACTGAGAAGAGCTGCAGGCAACGTCAAACAATTTGCATATTTTAGCATGTAATGAAATTTGTAATAATTCTGCAATTAATTGCGTACGTGTCCTTGTTTATAGCCCACGTAGCAGTTGGCCGGGCCGGGAGTCCAGTTTCATTTTCAGTTTGTGTGGGTTTTTGGCTTTTCGCCCCAAGGGCCATGGAAACAGAGCAACCCAAAGTAGTGTCTGTGTATGTGTGTGTGTGCAGGGCATTAATGTTTACGTTTTGGGTGTATTATTTAAATGGAAAATATGTATATATATAGAGGAAGATATGGCAGGTTTTATGCAATATGTACGCTCACTCTATTAAAGCTTTCGTTGGTATTGGAAGACTTTAATGGTTCTTCTTTAAAGCGAAAAAATATGAGAAACATATTTGTAAATTCCTTAAGAAAAGTATATTTTAATTTTAATTCTTCTTTCCAAAAATACATTTTTTTACATTTTTATTATGTTAAAAACATTATTAAATAAGCTTACAAAAGTAATTTAAATCCAAAAATAGAATGTAGCCGGCGGTCACACTAACTCGAGTAACAAACAGTCACACTAACTTATCTATACACGCTTAGTTGTAAACACAATGTTTTTCTATCCCTTACTCTTCCATAAAGATCATTCTAACGGACAATATGAGTGTCCTTCTCGCACGATCAGCAAATGTCACCAATACATGTACAAATTATGCTTGGATAGAATAAGCTAACGGAATAATAAAGAACAGTTCGTTTTGGACCATAGAAGAGAATTGAATTGAACTTTTTGCAACTCCAAACTTCTCTCTCAAAATTGCCACATTTTAGGAGCCCGACTTTGACCTGCACTTGAAAATGGAAAAACAAAGCAATCGACTGCTGCTTTCCATCCCTGATATTTCCAGCAAGTCCTTCATTGGCGGTGGCTGCTTTACAATTTGCATGTTTACAAGTAAATTTCCAACATGAATATTTATTTATTTTACCATTGCAACGCAGTAAATGGAGTTGTTGTTGTTGCTGTTGTGCGTTGTATTCTGTTCTGTTGTGTTGTGGCAGTGCATTGTTGTTGTTGTTAGCGGCTGATGTTGATGTTGATGGGTTGTATACCTTTGGCTAGGTGTTCGACATGCTCGTGTTGTTTTAATCCCTGTTCCCTGTTCCCTGTTTCCCTTCCACCAAATCCACCCACCTTAACCCCTTGGTGGATTTTCAATAACAAGCTGGCAGAACCATTGTTGTTGTTGGTCATTTTGTTGTTTGTTTTTAATTGTTTTTCATGTTTTCATTTCATTTGCAGTCCAAGTCCCCGGTTCCAGTCGCAGTATCCAATAAAAGAGGGGATAAAAATGGAAAATCGACACCGTCATTATGGCGAGAATAACAACAAATATTTATGCTGATTTTTATGCTACTTGGGCGCCATAAAAAGTGTATTTAAATTTTTCGGAAGATGTCAACGGCAGACAGACACTCGTGTTGCATCTGGCCTATCTTTGATTTTCATTTCGATTTTGATGTTTTTCAATTATGTTAAGGGTCCTCCTGCTACTTCGCCACCACCCTTCTCGCATTTTGTTTTTTAGCTGTTTTTTCGGCAGTTTTCCCCCGGATTGTTTATTCTGCAATTGTCTGGACTGGCAGACAGACAATAGATTTCAAGGATGGTTTCATTTCAGCTGCGTCCATTTGTGTTTCATTTTCATTTCTCCTTTTACGGCTTGCAATAATCATTTGGCGAGGAAAGGAAGCGGAAGTACAAAGAAAGCGTGGAACGAGAAGCGAGAAGAGAGGAAAAAGGAAGCTGGCTAAAAAAAAAGGAAAAGTGCCAAAGGGAAAGTCTCATAAAATTAGTAGCAATGACTTTAAAATGCCATGTTTTTGTACGATTACACCCCAGCCCCCCACCCTCATACCATCCAATTCATTGCCTTTTTTTCTATCCCCAACTGTTCTTTGATGATGATTTTTTCATTAGTTTCGCGCCGTTTGAGGCCGCCAATTAAAATGGAAAGAGACGAAGACCAATATTGGAAAAATATCTCTAAAATTCTGCATTCGCATTATATATACTGAATGCAGAGAAAATATTTTTGATGACTTATTTTTAAAAATTATCAACCTAGCGGGAAGTTTTTCTTTTACTTTTAGTAAGAAATGTTTTTTCAAAGAGTTGCTTAATGCAGTTCCCCCTTAAATATCAAGCTTTCTAAAATTATGTTTTTTTTTAACATAAACATTTCCTTTTCTTTCCGTGCACCGATAGACATGCCGTCATGATGATAAATGAGCTATGGCTTTGGCTGAACAGAAAAGCGTGCTAAATGTTATAATTGCCGCCATTCATTGGGGTCTTCGAATCGAGAGGAAAGGAGGAAAGGGAAGGGAACTCTCCAGGCATGTGCAAAACATTTGAAACGCTTTGAATTAGCGGCAATTTTGTTAATTTAAAAGGTTAAACATATTGTTTGAATTCAACGAAATATGCGATAAACTAATCCCAAACAGCATGACAAACATTAAAACGCAATTTTTAACGTTAAAAACAAAAATACGCCTTGCGTATAATAAATTTAAATTCAGCCATAAATTTCCTCATAATTTGGCAATTTCCAGCACCCTTCCTATTGAATTTCCTGCTACGTTAGCACAAACAAGCAAACTCAGCTTGAAGAAAATAAATGCCATTTTCGAGTTTTTCCTCAGCTTTCTTCATATTTATCTGGCACTGGGAAATTGCGCAACAAAAATACAAACAAACATATATATAGAAGAGTAGGTAAGCGTGTGTGTATCAAGAAAAACAGAACCAAAATAAACCCTTGAGAGGAAAAAATATAGACAAAGGACCCTGAAGGATTCGCATAGAGAACAATATAAGGACAAGGACGGCCGAGAACGGAACTCAAGAGCTGGCTGAATAATAGTCAATAAAATATTTGCACGAACCAAAAATCATTCAAGCGCATCTCGGGGACTTTTATTTCAATACAGATAGAAACTAGAGGGCAAAGCAAGAAAAAGTGGCCCAGGCATTGAAATAACATTTGGCGAGTACAAAAAGTTCCCAAAGTGCAGTGGCATCAGCCGAGAAAGTAAAAAAGATGACAGCCAAGGAGAATTTAACAAAAATAAAACCAAATACAGGCTGCCACAGGTCCCGGAGTGGCAGAGAACGAAAAAAAAGGAGGGGAAAAGGGAAAACAATTTTCAATGTTTTTGCTTCTAGTTGAAGACGCCTTATTCAATGCCAGAGTAGTGTAGTAGTGGGTGGCTGGAAAAGAAAAAAGAAAACCAAAAACTCTTTGACCCAAGTTACTTGAGACTTTCAGTCACAAAAATTTTTACCCATGACTGGACAACAGTGGCGGCAAAAACTGTTCGACCTTTCCTAGCAAAACAAAGCAGGAAATGGCTGCCAGGATATTGACAATGGCAGAGGCGGTGACGGCGGTGGCTGCCTGGAGGCGTGGCCATGGCCTCTGCTTATCGAGCGTAAAATGCGACAACCCTGCGCACGGCAAACAAAGCGCGATAAAAAAAAAAGAGTTTCCAGCGCATCTTTAAGCCAGGAAAAAGTTTCAAATTTACTTGCCCCTCCACTTGTGGATCCTTTACTTAGTAAACCCCACACCCAGGCACCCTACCTCCCCCCTCCCGTCGTTTAAACACATGAGCTACTTAAGGACATTTTAGTTAAATTTTATGTCGATTTCCGCTGGTCTCAGATTTCAGTTTGCCAATCTATTGAAATTGCGGTCGAGCATCGAGGGAAAAAGGTCAAACCCATTAAATTTATAATGCGATTGAGGATGAAGAGCGGAAAAAAAAAAAAATAGCCAGTAAGGACGAAATGGGCGTGGCAGATGTGTGTGTGTGTGTGTGTGCGTAGGAGAGAGCCTTAAGTAGGTCAGTTTTGTCTGTCATAAAATGCAATTGGAGCGCATAAAAGTGCCCCGCGACTCGCAAGTGAAATGTCAAGTTGTAAATAAGCACAGGACAGTGAAAGGAGAAGAAGGCGATGGAAAGTGCTGGAGAGGCGTGGCAGGCCAAGGATCCTGCCAATGGGCGTTGTCGTCAAGTGTCGAAATGACCCAAAAGGTTTGACGTTTGATATCTGCGATGATGTCACTGGAAATGTGACCGAACGAAGGTTATTTAAGTTAAAAGGTTTAAGTTTTCCTTTTTTTTTAGTTCAAAGAAGCTTAAACTATAAATTAACACTTTAAAAAGCTAAACTTTTCGTAAACGAAAACCAACTGCTCCCTAGATATTTCCAGCTAAAATCATTTGAATCAGTTATCTTCTGGCTGTCCGCACTATCATACATTTGGCCAACACTTTTGGGCCTTTGTTACTATGCAAATGGCTAAACATTTTGGCTTAAAAGCTTTGTTACGACCAGGCGCATCGCTTCTTCTGGTCTAGACGTCTGTTCAGCCACTTCAATTTTAGCCCCAAACATGGCGAAACTGGGAGGAGTGCCTGGCCCCCTTGAATTGCGATTACTGCCATGGAGCTCCTCTCATAATTGATATTCATATGCAACGCGAATGCCGTTTGCTTGCATCTCATTAGTGGCAGTCGCTGGATACCGCATTTATCCTTGTATGTACCTGGGGCTCTTATAAATAAGCACATAATCAGGCGACAAACGCGACTCTGGGATGCCATGTGCATAAATAAATAAATAATTTGCAACAATTACCATAACTCGGCCTGACATCTCCACTAGGCAGTATCGGCCAGACCTTCGCCCAAGTGTTATGACTAACTTGGCTGGAACAGCTCTTGCCAGCTGATGATGCTGCTTCAGATGCTGCTGCTGCTGATGATGATGTCAGTTGCCAGCTAGCAAGCAGATCCAGCCAGCCAGTAGTCAATAAACATAAATATCGGAGTGAAGATGGTCGTGGGGCATCGTTAAGTGTTTGGCTTTATGGCCGAAACGGGCGAAAGACTTCGCGGCCCGGCTTGGACTTTAATTAGCGCCTGGCCTGACAATTAAATAATATTTTCGCCAACTCACAGTTTGCTCATCGCGCCACCTCGCCCCTCATCTGTGAAGCTGCCGACTTGTTAACTCGCTGCCTGACAGTCTGCCAACAAGTTTTAATTACAAGCCAAACGACAGAGAAAAATACAAAAAAAAAAAATGAAATAAAAACATTGGAAAAAGACGAGTAGGAAAGTGGTAAGTGATGGGGTATGGAATGAGAGATACCCTCGAATAAAGAATGTTCTTAATTCTCTTTTAAAAAGATTTTTAAGGGTTAAAATGATATAAATTTAACACTTAATGGAAATTATTATAGAAATAAATTATAAATTAATGTTTTTGAGTTTGAGTTTGAGTTTGAGTTTGAGCACAGAACTTCAGGCTTCACTGAGCTTAATGCCATCGTTAATATTAATAGGAAATCGGGCAATTATATCGCATTTTATATGGTAAATTAAGTTTAAAGTTAAATTTTTGAAAACATTTTAAACAATGACAAACCCATCAGGCCTCGGGTTACCCATTTTGATTATCAAGTTCGGGACAAAAACTGTCTCCCGGCCAGTTAGTTTTTGATAGTCGCTGACTTGTTTTAATGACTCCTCCTAGCCTGCAGCAGCAGCAGCAACAGCAGCAGTGGCAGCATTTTTTGTTTTTATGGCCGTATGCAAATATTTTTTCAACACAGTTTATGGTCTGTGATTGTTATCCGTTGGCTGGTAGTCGGTTTTGCAAACCTTTTGTTCAGCTTTTATGGTTCTCTAGCCCTATATACCCGTAACCCCCCGTACAGTTTCCCTTCCTGGTCCAGTCCATCTTCATTGCCGATGACACATTTTTGATTTGTCGCTAATTTGAATTTGAAAACGATTCGATTTTATTTATTTATATTAAAGACATCAACAGAATTTATGACATTTCAGGCGTGGTTATATTTTCCGGTTTCACTTTGATTTTCATTCTCTGCGTTTCGGGTGCTGATTTGGTAGGTTTTGCCTGACATATTGACTTGCATTTTGTCAATAAAGTTTTTTTTGTTGTCTCGTTTGATTCGATTTGATGAAGGTCGTTTCTATTAGCGCCCATAAAACGACGGAAATTCTAACATTCGACCTTCCCTGCTTTGATTTGGACAGAGAGATATTCTATGGCTGGGAAAAATTTTTGGCCAGAATGTGGAGTGAGAAAGTTAGGCATTGAAAAGGTCGTAATTAAATGGAAATTGTATACAAAATTAGAATAAAAGAAGGGAAATATTAGAAATTAAGAAAGAAAAAAGAGGTTATTGTTGGAATAAAATAAAAATTGTGTTGAATTTTTGATTTAAATGAACTAAGAAAGGGCTGAATCTGAATCTGTAGTAGAGCTTAGTAAACTTGTTATGGGTACTTTTACAGCCTATTTAACTATAAGACTAACTTAAGGGTTACTTTTCTAACCAACTTATACTCTATCCAACCACCCTTGCCAATTATTTCAACCACCTTGTTCACTGGCCCCGCCAATTAGCTGACCAAACCTGAACCCAATGCAAAGTTTGCTTTATCGAGAGTATCTGTATCTGAAGTGGAAAACACTCAAACACTCGATTGCAATTTAAGCAAATATATGCAGACACTGCAACCCCCCTCCCCCTAAAAAAAACAAACGCCCCTTTTGGCAGGAGGCGTGGCGAGCATGGTAAGCGATAGCCCAGACAGATACTTTATGCCACAGTACGTGCCACAGCCACTGACCCATCCAGTTATTGAAATGCAAAAGCCAAAAAGGAAAAATTGCAGTAGCCAAGACAATTTTCCTGGCACGCAAAAAGGGGGAGGAGGGTGGTAGACAGGAACATAGATGGACCCATGTGTGTTCATGACTTGGGGGACCCGCGATCTAAGGATTGGACTCTGGGAGTAAACCTGGACCAGGGATTGGATTTCTAATGTGCATTCGTTGTCTGCCGTCAATCCATTAAAAATCCTACCCAGCGACAACAACAACAACAAATGCGGCACGTACGGTTTTATTTCTTGGCCTGGACTAGTACTGCTCGACTCTTGACTCACAGTTCTTGGTAGATAACATTTGTATTTAAAAGACACTTTACGGATTGCTTTTGAGCGCCGGCGAACCGGTCTTTCTCTCTCTCAACGTAACGTTCCATGTGCAACCATTTGTAGTTTATCGGAGGCGAATCTTGAAGTACCGCCCGGTACAAGCCGCATGTCAAAATGTCAATTTTTGTTTCGCTCTCTTTTTTACCCACAGTCTGCTGTAGCTGTGTGGCACGTCCTCTGTGGCCTCTCAGTGGCATGCAAAATTGCCACATGTTGCGTAAACTAGTTTCGTGAGTCGTGAGATATATCACCTGAGCCGAACAGTCTACACAGTCTAACTGCACTTGCAGAATTTTCCATATATTTACCAACGATCTTAGACTGGCATTCGGCCTGTCATGTATCCACTTTTCCAAATGTGTTTGCTATGATCGGTGACATGAATGGCCAACAACAACAACAACAACGAGGGAATATGTTTATATGGAGTTTATCCCCCCGGCAAACGTGTTCGACAACAGCAGCCTTGGATGCCTGGGAATTGGTTTTGCAATTGAGTTTCTGTCTGAGAACTTACCCTTATTTATGCAGCAGGTTGGTTTTCGGGTTTTTCGGTTAATGTGGTAAGATTTTTGTTACCTGTAAGAATGTGAAAAATTGGGAAATTAATATTTACAACTTTGTTTTAATAAATAGTAATCCCGCTTAAAACTTAACTTAATGTTAATGTAAGAAATCTTCATAGAAGAGCTACTTTGGACCATCTTAGCCCCTTTCAAATTGGCTTAAAAGCTTTCCTATGCTTAGCAATCTCTTATTCTAAGAATCCCACCCACCTGGATTACCTCTTGCTATACCAAATCCGTTGATGACTTCGTTGATTACCGCAGTAGCAAAAGGCAAAGGCAAATAAACTTTATTACCCAATGGCCGTGTGCCGTTTGAGAATTTCTGGCAGTTTTTCGGCCTCAATGCGAACTTTATTTCCCCTTCGTTTTTTGCTGGCATAATTAAGCGCACTTTTAAATATTTCAACCTATGTTCTGTAATCGTAAAAAGAACTGGAGTACCGCCAGAGCCATAAAAACCAACGTCTTTTTTCGGACCACCCAAGATGGCCTGGGAATCTTTTGCATGAGTGACTCCATGCGTGTGCCAAAAAAAGAAGGAGGAAAGGAGGGAAAAAGTATGATGAGCTAAGGGAAAAAAAGGTCAACAATTTTATAGCCATTTCCCGCTTAGGTTTCTAGGTGTTAAATAATAAATACGCCCAGGAATCGCTCTTTCCCAGTCGATAAAAACGGGCGTCGTCTTGGAGGACCTGGAAGATTGCGTGCCTTGACTTATCGTGCTCACAGTTCACTTGTTCCTCCGCAATTTCCCATTCCCATGGATGGAAATCCAGACCAGTGCATGATGACATTTTAATAGCTAGCCCAATCCTCAGAGAACAAAACAGCAAGAAAAAAAAATAAAAGAGAAAAAGTAAAGGAAACGCAAACCTCCCAAAAGCAATAAGAAGTATTTTCCTTACTTTTTACGAGCACTCATAAAACATTGAAACAATGACGAAAGCCCAACACTTTTCCTGTTGGTTTTCGCCCCTCATGTATGCACCATACTACACCCTGCTGAACCATAAACAAATTTGCTATTAATTGCTTCATTTTTGCTAGCCTCCTTCTTGGCTATAGACCACAGTTCAGCTTTAAAGACTCTTCATCACAAAAGCAATTAAAGACCAAAACCAACAACAAACATAACTGCCCCCCCGCCGCTGACAAGGAAAAACCTTTTTTTTTTTCCTGCAGACTAAACTAATTTAATTAGTTCAGGTCGGGCGGTAGTAAGCTATTTAGTCCCTGTCTGGGTTCCTTTGGTTAGTTAGAAGCGGCAAATGAAATCAGACTTCAAGCGATACAATGTTTAATAATGCCCTTAGCAAACGGAGCAGAGACAAACAGGCAGAAAAGGTGTGCGAAATAGTTATAAGTACAGTTAAGTTATTGTTGTTTTAACTCATTGAAGAAGTCTCAAAGAAGATAGAACTCCAATTTCTCTTTCTCTTTTTTCTTTAACAAAAAGCCATCCCCTAAAAGTCTTCTCCTTATGTCGCCTGCCTTAACTCCCGAAGACAAACAGTAAAAAAGCTGTGCGAAATAGATGTAAATATGAATTATAAATATTACTTAAAAACATAAATTAAATACTTAAAAGTCTTAAAAAAGTTAAAATTCATCTTCTCCCAAAACTCCTTCCCTTAAGAAAAAAAAACCTCCACCTAATCGCCTTCTTCTTATGTCGCTCACCTTAACCCCCGTTAGATCCCATGAGGAAGTTAGTTCTGCTTTGTACATGTCATTGACTCACACACTCACACATTCACAGAAAGAGACAGATAGCTGCAGGGGGACTGAAACAGAAACAACATAAAATTTGCGGCAATTTCTAGGGCGGCGACGTCAGCGTCGTCGTTGTCGTCTCGTTTTGTAGGTGACTTTGGCTCTGTGCGGCATATAAATAAATATTATATTACCCTCAGCGAGGAGGAAACCTTAGACCCGCGTCGCAAAATGCGAGACACATTCCCCTCCCTCCCCTTTCCTCCCCCCTCTGCCTTGTTGTGTCGCCCTTTTGTTTGCCTGCTGAGTTGTTAATTAAATATTTACTCTGCTTATTTGCAAAATGAATAATTTTAGCATTTTATTTCACATGGCGTTGTATATATGTATCCTCTAGCTTGTAGGGATTTCCTGCCTGGCTCTTCTAACCTTTTAGCACATTTATGCTTGACTTCGGAGACACTTTAAGTTAGCCTTTGGCTTCAGCTTTAATTGACTTTATTGCTGGGTTTAAGTACAGAGAGAGAAATGTTTGTGAAATTAACTAAAAATTAACTTTAAACTATGTTAAGCTTATCATATTAAGTTCAAAGCCTTCTAAAGATATCTAAAGTTGTCTTTAAGTCATATCTTATTGTGAAAACATTTTTTTTTCTTAATAGTTTCGAACTGGAGTCCCAAGTAAAGTTAGATTTTAACTGCTTAGTAAACCAGTAACTTACCTAACTTAGTCATTTTTCAAGTTGAGCTCACCCATCCACAAATTACATCATCTAAATTCTCTCACAACCTTCTAGCAAGTAAAAAAGTATAATTTGCATTTAACTTAGCGTTGTTTTTCTTCTCACACATATTTTTATTTATTTATTAACTTTGTTTCTAAGCATTTTGTTACGCTTCACATTTACGTGTTGATGGCTCGTTCCAGCTCACAAAAGCGAAACTTGTTTTGCAAAATGCCATTCAAATGCCTGGCAGTCTAAATCTTGGCCCAGCTAATGACTTCATTCTGTTTTTATTGTTGTTGTTGATTTTCCTATTACCCAGCAGTCAAGGTGAATTTGAACAGATCTCGACTTAAGTTCCATACATTGGATTTTGGAGTTTACCCCACAGAGAACTTTGCATAATTGATTAATAATTTTGTTGGCGGACGACAGGTGGCGCCCCTTAAGCGACCACGCCCTCTTTGGAGGTACGCTGCCCGACAATCGTTAAATATTCAAATGAACTATCCAGACCGCCTTAACCCATTAATTAGCCCGACTTGGGCACACATTAGATAAATGTTGTGAAACTTGATTAAAAGCAAATAGGTTCGGAAAAATTTCACTCTCTCTCTCTTTCGCTGGGTTTAAAAGGGTTAGGAAAATCCAAAGATATAGATAGATAGTTAGGGAAAGGGATGTAATATAGGAGGAGGAAGGGGATATATAGAAAAGAAGGCGTCACCCCTCTCGCAAACAAACCTATTATTGATTTTACTTACATTCGAGTTTTGCTGATTTGTTGTTCATTTTTGTTTGTTTGTTTGGCCAGCGTTTGTTTGTTTGTTGATTTTCTGTTTGCTTGACTCGAAAATTATTTGGGTTAAATCAACAACTAACAGCAAAAGCAACAGCAACAAGCAATCAATGCAATAGTCGATGCTCATAGACAAGACTTTAAATGGGTCTGAAGTACAGACATTTTCAGAGATTACTTCCTGGTATGAAAGTTTCTTTCATAAAATTATGAAATTCCAAGTTTTATTGAGGAAGTGCATAAGATGAAAACTTAGATCACTAACTGTATGCAAATTATAGATAAAAATTGCTTAATATGAGTTTTGTTATTATAATTTTGAGTGATTTCTTTTCTTAGCTACAGCCTGTCCCTTTCCATTTTCTACCCTTACTAATAATCCCATTAACTCCCCTTCAAACACACCTGACTAATCCAATAAGTCGTTCAACTTTTCAGAGCCAGCCTTAACCGCAAACTTTAACACGAAGCAAGTTAATTTGTAGCAGCTAGCTAACTAGCTTATAGCCAAACAACGAACATGTCAACAAAACTTAACAGAAATTAACTGGGTAAACACGAAAAGAACCGGAAAATACTTGCTTAATTAACTGGCAAAAACTTTCGGGACAAAGGACATACACAAAGAGAGACATGTGAGCGTGGGAACCCTTTTATGAAAAGGATAAATTCAAGCTAACGCGGCGTATGCGCAATTAACATTTATGGCAATTAATTATATGATTATGCATACGCCGTGTGGCACAACATAATCAGCCATGTCTATTCTATATATATTCTCCCCAGCTAATGAAGGCATCAAAACCAAAGGCGACAAAATGTTTATCACTGTTTTTTTTTCTTTCTTTTTTTTTTGGGTTCCCCCTCCCCACTACTTTTCGGTAAGCTATAATTATGGGTAATCAAACAGTTTTATTTGATGCTCTAACTAATGATGTTTTTGTCTAGGCTTCAGCAAGGTCGAAACCCTAAACGAGCCATTTCAGTGAGAGACTTGAGACTTTAATTAATCGTTGTATCGCCATCAACTCTGATTAACCGAACAGACCGAAAATACACTGCCCCTCGAGGCAACTCAATCTCGTTAATTGATATGCAAAATCAAATGGCCACTAAATGGTGCTAGCCAAAGAATTACGCCAAAGTGCTTGAGCAGGTGAAGGTTTTTGTTTTTTTTTTTTAACTGATTTTCCAAGGAATCAGGTTCAGAGTTCAATGAACTTAAAGGAGGGTGAGTTAGAAGATAGGAAATTGCAGGCAATCGAGAGCATTTACCAGCCTTAAACCAAAGCTCTGAAACCTGCTCTCTACTACTGCTAATACCCCTATAGCTCTACTTCTAACATTTCTAAATCACACAAAAACTGAAAAAAAAAAAGGAATTCACTTTTCATTATCACATATGTAATATTTAGCATCGTCTGTTCCTCTACCCATTCCACACCTTGATGCCCCATTTCGAGCAATTTGTTTTGACATATTTTTGCTAGACTAGGCAGAATTGTTCAAAACACGAAAGAAAAACACAATGGAAAGCTGAGAGGCAGCCAGAGATACTCTTAGATAGAAAGCTAAATCATTTCGTTGAGAACATTTTTACAGATTGTGCGGTTTTGAGAGCAGTAGAGGGAGGTTGAGACTTTTCTTGCTGCGCCTTCTGACATTGCTGATAAAGCAAATTTTTTTTGGACGACACCCTGCCTGCCTGCCCCATGAGAGTATCAATAAGCCCATAAATTTAAAAGAGAACCACACAAAACAAATGTAAATATATATAGAAAATTTGTTGTTTTCAGACCATTTTCATATTTATTTACCAGCTCTGCCTCACATTTCATGTGACGTTTGCTCTTATTTATGCCCAGAAACTTTTTTGTGGGCGTCTCCAATGCTGCGGTCACAGCACTATCTATCTATCTATCTATCTATCTTTAAAGTTGAAAATTTTTGCATATTTGTCGTAAATTGCTGGATCGCCCGATCTCAGTTTTTTATGGATCATGTTCTGTTTGTCGTCATGCTAGTTTTGGGGGTCTATTAAATGGTTCCGTATTATATTAATGGATTTCTTCTGTTGTGTTTTTGGCCAGAGCGAGTCTTTATTTAAGAATTGTTTACATTTTGACACTTGGCACAGATGTTTTCTGACGGAACTTGGCCATGAAAATTTCAACAACATGTGAGTTTAGTTAATGCGAAATTAGCCGAACGATTATCTTTCGAGCAATGAGTTCATTAATCAGTTATGGTAGCTCATTTTTAGGGAGAAACTAACTAGTGCTGTGGGAAAATGTATGTTTATTTTATGTTTAGGAATTTTGTAAGCATTAGTCTTGCTTAGTTTTCAGCCAGAAGATGACTAATTTCCTTAAAAATATGTACATTCTGCCTTCACAATAGAAAATGAAAAGCTTGAATCATCAGCTCACTTTATGCCCGAAGTACTGTCAATCAACGAATTCTTTCTTAGTAGGCTTATCCTATCTATAAATTATTTCCACATTATATTCCCCCCAGCCCCTCCCCCCACAAAAAGAACAGAGTAAGTAAGCTTTGGCGTCTTTTCATTCAGCGCTGCTCCTCGCTCAGTGGTTTGCCTTTGTTCCCTTGTTTTGGCCCCTTGAATACCCAGGGAAACCACAAATATTGACCAACATTCAGAGCCCATAAATAAGTAAACAGTCCATTAGTTCCACAACTCCCCCAAGCTCTGAGTTACATTTCCATGACAGCAATAGGAACAGCAACGGCAACGGCAGCGGCAGCTTGCACAACACCCATCAATGCAGCGAATTACTTTTTGTGTGGAAAATCAGAAATCGAAGCCAAGTCACACCCTATCGGGTCATAGATATAGAGTGCGGCATTATCTTATCGGCTTGGCGCCTTATCGCCCCAAAAAGGTAAACACAAGATAGCCGAGGCAACTCAACACTCATTTGCCAAATGACGCATAGAATGCTGATTACTAAAGCCAGAGGAAATGAAAATGAAAAATGAAATTAAGTTTTTATGGTTCATCAAACGAGTCCAAAAGCCAAATATAAACAATAAGCAGAGAACTAGGTAACAGCCAGTTTATTTTGATTTGCGGCAAATTGAAAGACAGGCAATGAGAATATTTAAATATAGAGAAAGAGAGTCTTTCACTCGAAAGTGTCAATGGCACGTTCCACCAGCTGTTGTCAGAATTTCTCACACCTTTCTTCTCTTTCTTACTCTTTACATTACCCGCACCTGAATCTTGAATCTGTTTTTCTTTTTTGGGAGAAAACTCTCTGGCCATATGTCACCCTCCCAAAAAGCTGGCAGCCCATTTTTAATTGCCACTACGTGAGCGAAATTTTAAAACCACAAACAAATCGAAAAAGAACATCCGTTCCCAGAGTCAATTATGCTAATTAAATTTATGATTGGAGCCGATAGTTATGCTCAGCCAGATATATATACTATATAATAATGGCCATATAATGGAGAGCAGGTTCTCTACCATTTCGATTCGGTTCATTTGCAGTTTGTTGTTGATTTAATTGCAAAATTTAATGGGGGTCTGGTTATTAAAACACAAATTACTTTGACTTTGGCTCAAAAAATCACATAATTGCTTTTGTAAAATGGTCATTCGGCGTGGAACTTATTTTCGGACATGTAATTTAGGGTGATTTTCATGATTCTGCTGCCATTAGAGTTTCAAGTATTTGTTTTGGGCTTTGTAAATGTCAAGGCAGCAAAAAATAAAGTTGATTTGCCCAGATGATAGGGTTGGGTTTGGGAGATAAAAGGCTAGGATTTGGTGGTTGAAAAATGGAAAATAAACAGGGCTTATAAAGGCCACAAAGCAATGATTATGATGGTGGTTTAAAGAAGTAAATCTGATAAGAGTTAATAAAAGATTTTTTAAAAGATTTTTTTGATTTATTTATTAAAGATTAAACTGTTCATTCCCATCATTTATAAATCCCTTAAACTGATACCAAAAACTCATTAATTCACAGAATTTTCTTCCTGTTCATACTCCTCCCCTCCCATTAATCAATATTTTCACTCTTAATTTGCCTCTCTGCAATTAGCTCCTCTTTATGTTTACAATTACCTCATCATGGCTCTGGGAAATATTACCCAATATTAGCCAACATAATTTGCCCAATCCTTGCATAACTTTTCCTAATCGCATTAAACGGAAAATTCTTACCAAAGCTAAGGCAACGCAATATGTTTTTGTTTATGTCTATCATTGAAGACATCATTGGCTTGGCGTCAATAATTACAGAATCAAAGATATATATATAGAGAGAGAGACTGCGAGAGCGGGATGGCAGCTCCCGCATCTCTTGAGTTTTCCTTTGGATTTTTTTGGGGCAGGCACGCCACATGCTTTTTAACCTTGATTAAGTTGACGTTCTAATGATGCTGCTAATGGTGGCAATGATGTTCTTTAATGATGATGCCACTGATGATGATGCGGATGCTGATGGGTAGTAGGGGCTGGTAGAGGCTGCTGAAGATGCTGCCGCAACATCATTAACAACATTATCAGCAACAAGAAAGGCGGTGGAAAACTTCAGGAGTATTTTTTGTTTTTAATTGCCGCCTGGCACTTAGCTAATGTAATTTATATTACATTTTGCTGCTGCTCTAAAAGCTTTAAGTAGCTAGAAGAAGCGGGGAAAAAAGAGCAAAAGACGAAGAAGGGGAACCAAAACAACGGCAAAGTGCAGCATCAACAAATGGAGAGGTGGCATAGTCGAGGAGTCGAGAAGGTTGTAAAAAGAAGTGTGGGCTCTGAAGACGTAAACTTTTGTTTATATTTACCTAACATTGTACTTGAAAGATATTTTCGTTTATTTTTCTCTCTTTTTTCCTCTCTTCTCACTCTCTGTTTGTTTATCTAATGGCTAAAATATATTTAAGCCGTAAAATTTGTATCTCTGAGATGGCTAAAAGCTGCTGCTTCGGTTTCTTTTTATTTACGAAACTCATAAATACTTTTGGGTCAGTAAAAGAGAGTGTGAGAGAGGGTAGAAAAAGGTTCGATTTCAGCTTGGACAAGTCAAATCCCAGCCAGATAAAGTCTTCTCTGCCTAAGAAGTTGCCATATTTTCAATTTATGTAAAAGACAGTTAGGGGTGGGAGGAAGGTAGACTCACCTGCCACCATCTTACCTGCCTGTTATCTTAAATGTTTTTTCCTGTTGGTAATTAAAAAGTTTTCTGTTAGCCACCCATTTACCACCCACCCTTGCTCAGATGTCTGCTTAGCTAATGCTGGTTGGTAGCTCTATGCTTTTGGCCTTGGCGCTTTCGGTGGGGATTTCTCTGAGTTTGTGTGTGTGTGGGCCTGATAACAACGGAAGCTGGCAGCTTTAATTAGGGGGCTTTAAGATTTTGCTTCGGGGTAAGAGGAGCAGGTTCAGAGAAGAAGATAATGAAGGTCACCAGTAGATGGGCAAAGCCAGAATGGAGGTCGAAACGAAAAGATAAGCAAGAACTACGAGGAAATCTAATCATTTCTTTGAATTGATCGGCCTTGTAACCTTAAAGTTTAACTAAGTTAGTTAAAAATATTTTCCATATGGCTTATTTACCTTATAGACCCTGATGTAAGCCTAAATAAGGCCTGTAAAATCACCTCCTACTACAATTTCCTTGGAAACCTCCTCTTGATTCTGCTTCCAAAATTCTATTCTACGAACTTTAGAACCTCGAAGCATCTTTAGGCTTATGCCACATCACGTCTAACCAACCCATTCCCAAATGGCCAACTAGTCCGTGGACATTCCTCAAGAGTGTCAACGAGTAAGGCCCACAAAATACAAGAAATTTTGACCGCCCAAACGGCGGCTTCTCTGGATTCGAGCCTCACCTCGTTCATTCATAAAGATTCACATCTCCATAAAGAGGGGCGAACAAACACGAGTCCAGGCAGCACCTAACAAGTTCTTGGAATTGCACAAACCTCAAAAAGTTCTTTAAGTTTTTCGCTCTAACGAAACCTGTTCCCCAGACAGAAAACCCAAAAAAAAAAGACTGCTGGGGTATTCGAACGGAAACTCCGACCGAGTCTGCGGCCCGAGACATAATTAATGATTTCAAAATTTCACAACGAAAACTCATAAAACTTATCGATCGAACATGAAACAAAAAAAACAACAACAACAGAGGAGGAGGAAAAAAGAATGTCATGCTGCTGTCAAGCCAATTTTAGGCCTTTAAAGTTGGCTCTCTCTTACAGTTATATCTCGGAAAAAGGCTATCTTTCGGTTTGGATATTTAATTTGATTTAATAAGAATAGATTGGATTCTCTTTAAAAATAATAACTATTAAATATATAATGCTTATAGATAGTTAAGAAAAGGTTTTTTGGTTAACGGGGTAAGATTATTCTTGAAGGAAAATAATCTTTTTCACTAAATAAGTTACCATCTAAAGGTAAAAGCTTGTCTTCTTTTCTTAAACTTAAATAATTACAAAACAAATTGAGTTTAGTTTGGATTTAAAAACAGAAGGTTTTTAGACTTATCAGATAACACTCACAATAATATTACTTTAACGAGCACCAAATCAATCTTACTTCCACAAATATCTTGTACTAAAAGATACCTTAACTTGTAAAGTTTTTTAGTAATACCTAACTTAAGTCTCGAAATCAACATCTAATTCAAAAAACAAACTAAATTTCATATTAAACTTCCCTTAATTAACCCATCAAATTATTAATCTTCGCTATTAATTCTCAAATAGCTAAACTTACCGCGATTGTTTTCTGTCAGTTTTTGACAGCCTTTCGTTCGTTTAGCACGCACTGTTGTCAAACAAAAATGTTGGCCTAAACACAAATCGTAAAACGAAGAAGCAGCACACTACCAAGGCAATCTTTGAGATACTATTTGTCGGATAGTCTTCCTCTTTGATTTTCATTGATGAAGCGGCGCGAGTATTTCATTAATTCTGCACACACGTTTTTTACGCGAGGCCGTTAACGATGACGATTGACGATTTTGACTATATTTTGCGATGACCCGCGTTGCCCCGCCCCCGAAAAATAAACGCCAGTTGCCCGCACAACGACAACGACAACAACAAACGAACGAACGTATGTTGCCGGAGGGTGAAGGGTGAGAATTTGCACGCGCGAATCTGATGAACGGCTGATTGGAAATAACGGTGCGCTCTACAACATGTCCATACACGTTCGCGTTTTTTTTCGAACTGACGGTGTATTGTATCTGTGTACGCCACGAACGTCAAAATCCCGATTCTTGCATCTGTGTATTAAAGAGAGCGATTCGAATTGACTCTGTATTGTATATGTGTATGACTCGTGCTTGTATCTTAACATTTTCGTTCAAAGAGAGCGGGTCGTATCTGCATCTGTGTACGACACGAACGTCAAAACAGCGATTCTCTGCCGCTGTTAAATGCCGACATTGGTTAACAGTATTCTATAAACAAGAAACGAGAGAGCAAACACGAAGTAAGTTTGATAGTGTGCGAGAGCCGAGGCACGAGCGAGGACTTCGGCTTTTTGTGCAAAAATCATATGCAATTCTCTCTCAAAGAGCACGAGGTGGGTACTCAGATAACGCCAGCCAGAGTTATCTCAGCCGGTGAGACTCGAATTGGACTCTCATTGAGTCAGATAAGTTGCGGCTATGTGGTTTGAAACCAAGCTAAAATGAAAACTTCGCCCACAAAATGAGGCCCGTGGGTGTTGAATGCGTTCTTTTTTTTTTGCTCTCAATTTGTGTGCCAAAGCAATTTGACAATGGTGTGTGGTTGCCGCATAAGGCGCACAGGTGTGCTAATAGGTTGCATGGAGACAATTTGGAAGTTACCACAAGGAGAAACTGAAAGGACTTTGGTAAAGGAGATTTGGAAAATGGCAATGGGGGGATGAAATTTTGAACTCTATGGTTTAAGTTCCTTAAAAATCTTCTTTCCAACGAACAGTAACTAATGATAACTAAAAATCAAACCCGAAAATCAAAATTCAAAGCTAAGTGAACCCAGAACCTTTTCAGATATCTTATCAAACCTTAAGCAAAAGAAAATCTTAGGATTTCCATTAGTCCTATCATCCATTTTCTAATCCAATAAGACGACGTACTTCCGCCGCCCACAGCTAATTAGCCTTCACGGGTTGCATTGACCCATCCCAATTAGACCTGCCCACAGATTGTCCAATAAGTTCATTGCTCGCCCAGCACACACATAACATTCTTATCAGATTCGATGCTAAGTAAAATAAATAAATAAAAAAAAAGAGCCAACAACAACAATAAGAATAAGGAAATGTAAATCTGATTTTTTGGGAGCGGTCACAGCAAAAACAATAACAACAAAGCCGAAAAAGAATGCAAATGCAGCAGTGAAAGATAAACAGAGAGGAAAAATCAAACAGAGAGAACCGGCGGCCCCTCTCTCACTCGTTTAGATAAAAATGCTAGTTGGGAAGAAAACACTCGGGAAAACTCTCCCGTTATCTCACTCTTTGCTATCGCTCTCTCCCTTCTCAGATAGTTCGCCTAAATGCGGCTAGATGGCGTTCATGTGCCACTGAAGTGAGAATTGCATTTCAAATGCTTTTTGTTTACCAACGAAAATGTGGGCAGTGCTTGTCGGGGAGGGGAGAGAGGAGGGTGGCAAGTGCGGTTGCATTCTTGGAAATGTTTGCAAAAACCGTCGCCGGTTTGCTGCTGCCACAAATGCCGCGTAATCACTTTTTGCGACTATGTCGACGTCACCGGAAGTTGCAACACGTCGCCGTCTACGCACACATACATTTAACCCATACAAACACATATATGGTGCATATGCCGTTAATGCCGAAATGCCACACCCCAGCAATTGCAAATTTCACCCCACCCCCGCATGAACGCCTTGTAAATTTTCAAAAAAAAAAAACGTGAAAATCAAAGGGGGAAAGAAAGTTGGAAAGCTTCGGTGGAGTTGAGTTATCGCTCGCATTTCCATTGTCCGCCCCACCACCCCCAATATTTGCACTCTTTTTGTGAACATGTGTGAACAACTGCAGTCGGCAAGCCACCCCCTTTTGGTTACACTGAAAGAAATTTGTCCCCTCTAAGGTTAAATCTAGGTTGCAAACTCAATTTAAGGAAAGAAATGTAAGAAAAGTTTAAAAAACGAAATCCTATGTTTTCTTAACTTAACATTTTCCAAAGTTGAAACAACAAATTCTATCCCCTTTTCTTTCCCAGTGTAATTGCTGTCCCTCTTGCACCCTTGGGCAGCGATTAATCATGAAAATTCACACAGAAAATATCCATTAGATACGAATTAAGACATAATTGAGAGTGCAGGCCTCGTACACGTTTCAAGAACCTGCAATGCCATGGTATGGGTGGTGGCACGGGGTTGATTTTCCTTCGTGTGCAGCGACACAAATGCAAGGGGCTGCTGCCTCAAGTGCCTGCGACATATTTATTATCCCTGTTCGGGGACAAAAAATGATTATGCGTTGAAAATGCCTCGGGCTGGAGTATTAAACTCCCATTGTTGGGCGAACGGATTGCAAAGACTTCAAGAGTCGATGAGCAGCAGCAGCGTTGGCTTTAATTACAGTTTGAGTGGCACTGGAGAAGGTCCTTGAAAGGGGGTTTTTGATACGGTATGCAGCCATCTTAATGCCACATTTTTGGGGGATGCACTTATAGGATCACAAACACAGCAAATAACTTAGAAATTGAGGCATTCAAGAAACTTCTAAGCTTAAGACTTCATTTTCAAGAAGTTAAGTCCTTATTTTCCAATATTTTGTTTGTTTTAAAACTTAAAAAACTCCCAAAAAAGAAATAACATATAATCTAAAGATAACTACCTAAATTTCTATAATTCATAGTTAAAAATGGGAAATGTATGCACTTTAACTCCATCACTGAAGTTCATTAATCGATCCATAAATATGCCCCTTGGCGCCGGCAGTGTTGGTTAATGTCAGCTAATCCGCACACCTGTTGGAATGCACTTTTGGGCCAACAATCTCCCACCCCTACTCCACCACCCACATCAATGCCAATTTGTCGTTACACGCGACAGCTACAAGAATTTTGTAAATGCCAAAAAACACAAAACAAAACAAAACCAAAAAACGAAAAACTGAAAATATGGAGAAAAAAACAAACAACAATTTCTGTGGTCTGTGTGGCAGGCAAGAAAATATGCCCAGCAAGTGAGCTGAACAAGTGTTATATGACAGGTCTCCGACAACCAACTGTGATTTTCAGATTTTTCCCCAACTCAATTGTTTGTTGGTTTTGGTAACAAAAAGCTTCGTCTGTTGTTGGCCGGGTTGTAATGTGGAATGTAAGTTTTGTATGTTAATTTGATTTCGGTGTCAAATGGGATTTTTTTTTTTCTTTCGGTCTTTTGTGTTTTGTTATTTCCATTTTTTTTTTGTCTTTTATGGCCTGCACTTGGGTTGCGCTTTTATGGCCCCCATTGTTGGTGTTGCTGCAGCTGGTATAACCCAAAAGCTTATAGCATATATAGCATATAGTAATTGCTCGAAACCGATTCCCCCGGAGCAATTTGAACCACCCCCCCCGCTCGATGTCAATCCGCTTTGATAGTGCGCACTTATGTCTTTATTGACAACGCCGCAATAACATAAATAATTTATTACAGCCATACAGACATTGAGCAATTTGTAAATGGCCAAAAGAAATCTCAACCTGAAGGCGCAACCTCAAAAAGATAGATAGATACTCCAACTGTGTATCTGTTGGATATGCACAAATATTTCTATGAGGATTTTACCAGTGATTTGCTACTGATTTGCATTTATCAAGTGCATTTGAGGTAAATGAAATCAAAATGGGGGGAAAAAAAAAGAAAGAGAAATCAAAAATCAAAATGAATCTGGCAAAGCTCAAAGCTCTTTCAAGGACTCTTCAGGTAATTGATGCACTTCAATGTGAGCGAATTTAATTGAGTTAGTTTGTTCCTCTTCCTACCCTTTCCACCCACTCACATATGCCATTATTTGTGTCTATTGGTAGTCGGTTGTAGTCTATTCATTCCGCAAATAAATCGTTTTAATTGATGTAAATATTTGCATTTAAAATATGCAATGCAAATGCATCAACTCGCTCTTTGAACTTATGAAGTGCCCAGGCCAGGTCATAAATGTTCGATTTAATATTAATACTTGGCTAGTTTTCTTTGCTTATATTGCCCATGAAATTGCCTTTGGGCTTGAGAAAATCTATAAGAAAATAAGATTTATTAGTTTTTTTGTTTAGGTTTTCTTAAGGTTTCCATAAATTTATGATGGCGAATATTTTATGAAATATTTATAAATATTTTTAGTCAATCAGGTTGCAGTTTTTAATATGAAAAGAAAGTGGTTTCAAGTTTATTTTAAGACTTAATTAAATTGAAATATTTATATTAAGCTTAAAAATATACATATGTCCTTAAATCTTTTTTAAACTACAATTTTCTGTCCAAAATATTCCCGAAAAAAACCTTCCAATTATGACCTTGAAATGCCATCCATGAAAATCCCTACCCAAATCTATATTGCTCCACATCTTTCACCTCTTTCACCTAGTTTTGTGGATGGCATAATCAATTATTTCAAATGGACAGGCCAAAAAACAAAGTCATTTATTATGCTGGCCAAAAAAATTTGTCACTATTCTGCACTGGTTTTGTACGTTATTCGTGCTGCTGTTGCTTATCAGTCCAGAACCGAGTTTGGGGCCATAATTAATTTGGCCAAACAACAACGGGGAAAAAAATACACTCACACACAACACTCGCAACACACAAACAGCCCCAAACAATGGCAAACAAATTGATTAATGACAGCGTATTAAACAATAATCGAGATAGGCCTCCGGTCAGATCGGAAAGGAGGAGTTTTACCCCACCCCTCTGATGGTGTAACCCAACGGATTTTTGTGCGCCCACGCAGAAACAGAACTTTTTCCACCAGGCGGGCCAAAAAAAAAAAAAAAAAAGTGTTTTTATCCAACGTTGGTTGGCTAAAAACAATTCATTTAAATAATATCAGAACCACTTTGCCAGAACAGGAGGAAACAAATCATTTTTCATATCCTCTTCGTGTTCATCGCGCTGCGTCCGCAAAAGCTGGCAAATTAATAATGTGTAATTAATATTTTTTGGTACCGAAAGCTGGGTTAAGGGATTCCGGTCGATGGGATCACACAAATCACGAATATGGGTCGCAG